GTGCCGGGCATAGCTCGCTGAAGGCTTGGGCTTGCCCATCTCAGTGGTAATCAGGGATGCAGACTCACAAAGAGCATCATTACTGACAAACTGCTGGGAGTTTTTGCATATTTCTATGGAAGTTGCAGATGGGATCCACCATTTGGGACCATTCGGTGACCCTGTGCCACCAGCCTGACGGCAATAAGCAGCTCTGGTGACACAGAGAGCAATTTTCTGTGGCCAGCCACAGCATCAGCTTCTGCGAAGCAAGAGATTTCAGTGCTCAACTCAAAGAAAGAGAAGATCTTGCCTTCTAGAAGGCTTCGCATCAGCAATTTTTTGCTTTCCTTCACTGAAGTCATGCTTCATTTGACACTTTTGACCATGGTAAAAATCACCAGCACCTCACCCCCTGGGAGGAGGCTTCCCATGGAGAGGGGTGCTCCATGTGTTTTCTAAAGTTTGGTGCATGTAATTGTTGCTTCTTCGTTGCAACTGCAGTGCAAATACCATACACAGGATAAATGCAATGAAATTGGAATTTGCTTAAAAATCAGGAAATACTACTGGAGAGAAGTTTTTGTTTGCTTGATTTTCTGCTCTGGTGGATGTAGATTTGTGGCTATAAATGAGGTCTTTCCTAGAGCACTGACTTAGCTGAATATTTTACACTTGCTCCTCAGTATATTAAGGCCATTCATTCTTGCCTGCCAGTCAGCCATAAGCAGGAACTTAGCACATATTTTATCTATCAAAAATCCACAAAAATACACCACAAAACCACAAGGGAAGCTTGAGAGTGGATCCTGTCCCCTGTATGAGGGTCTTTCTGTCCCCTGGGCTTATCACACAGGTGGAGGAAAGCGTAATCTTTTCTCTCTTTCTCTAGGTCATTAAGAAATCTCAAACCTCATCAAGTGCAAGGAGGAAAACAGTCAAACAGCCCTGCCTGATCCACTCCCATGTGTCCTGCCAAATAAACATCTCTGCAGGCAGCACGTGGTGGTAACTCCTGGGAAAAATGGCCTGGGAAAAACGGTGGGGGAAATGACTCCAGACAGGGTTACCCCCATGCCAAGGCCAAAATAAACGACTTTTCTCCCCAGCAATGAGTCCCACTCTGACGGGAGCTCCAGGGAGAGCTGCTGGGAGCTGTTGCAGTTGCAAGTCCCCTCTCCTGCCCAGCCCTCCAGAAACCCCCTCCAGTTCCCATGTCCTCGGTGGGTTACTGCAGCATCCACCTCTGTACCAGCAAGCAGCAGGGAAGGGCACCTGCAGCTCCAGTGAGCTGCTCCGCTCCCCCAAAATCAACGGCAACATTTCCACTGGTGGCAGCTGACGCAGGTTTGAGTTACAACGACGAGCCATGACAGCGTGATCAAGGCTGGCATCAGCAAAGATGTGGGCTGGCATTGGCACTAATAAGCAACAGCAAGGAAGTTTGGTGCTCGTCACCAAATGCTCCCCAGCCCACCCCCTCCCGCCAAGTGCCCCAGCCGTGCTTTTGTCTCATTGCATGCAAACATCTGACCCTGAACTTTCAGCTTCATGAATTTCCAAAACCAGAAGCCAGATGTGATGAAATCCTTCCCTGCGGCAAGCAGAGACAGCAAATAAGTCACCGTGCTAAAGTAAGAGCAGCATTGCCCAAATGGGATTTCCCCCGCGGAGGAGGTGGACGCGCAGGACCTGCTCCGTGGGCTCCAGGCACAGCGCGGGGGGCTGGTGGGTGGAAGCGCCACAGGGCAAAGCCTCGCTCCCCCCTTCCTTCTGCCTGCGAGACACGAGGGTGGCGCCGAGCGAAAACAAAGGAAATGAGAGCCGCGATGAGCAGAAGTGAGGGTGGGAGTATGGAGGGGCTCTGAGGGATGAAAACCCCTTAGCAAATAATGAGGCTTGTAAATTGGTCCTACTTAATAAAAATATGTGAATAAATTAACTTTGCCTGCTGGTTAAATCTGTTCAGTTTTTCTCTGTCGCATCATTAAGCAAACTCTGGCGAGGCAGCTTACCTCTCAAGCACATAATGTGGCACTATCTGTAACGGGTGACATTTTCTATTCTGGCATGTCTTTATCTTGCTAAGGAACAACACCTCGCAGGAGAGCAAAGCGATTTGCAGCAGCTCTGCCTCCCGCCAGCCCCCTCCCACCCAGGGAAAGCATCGCAGCCCAATTCCGCTCTGGGGTCGACGTGCCTGATGTGCTGCCACAAGCTGTTTCTGTGAAGCAGGGACTGTCGGAGCATCCTCCACTCCTCAGGGCCTCCCTTCCCATTTCTATTCCTGGGGTCCTGCTCACACCCCCAGGAAAGCGAAAAACCAAGTTACTACAGGGACTAAACTCTTGCAGCCATGCTGGCAGGTCCCCTCTGCTCACTGGGCGCAGGCTGCCCCGTGTGTCATCTCTGTCACACGCTTCTTTAGGTTTAACTCCATACCTGTGGTTTTCCCATGACTCTCCTCGCTGGTCCCACGGGCTGGAAACCACCCGGAGCTCTTCTTCCCCGAGTCTCCCACTCAAGTGTCATGTTTGCCACAGTGTCCCAGGTTTAGTTTCTCACATGAAAATCTGAGTTCTGCGTTAAGTGGCAGAATGGCAAAGAGCCAGCTTTCAACATCTCTTTTATCCTCAAAACAGATTCATCACTTAACTGTGTACGATACATATCTATATTTGATGACATCAACTCAAGCAACAGTTCTCTTGTGTTAACACCTTTTCATGGGCATTGATTTCTCAGTGATGTTCAAGATATCAGCTTTCAACGTACACACGGTTTAACATCAGTACAACTTCACCTCTAAAATAACCGTAACGGGTATCAAAGTGACTTTTTCCTTCCTATATTTTAAAAAAAACCCTTCTGACACTAATGAGATGACACTTCCCAGCACAGTGTAACACTCCACAAAATTTATTACCCTCCTAAGTAACAAACCTCAGCATCAGTATGATAAATGCCAGTTTTTCAGCTACCGTCCAACCCTCACCTTCTCACTAGCGCTTCGCAAGGTGTTCACCTTCCAAACCCAAATTCTTCCCTTACTGATTTCTACATGGCTATTAAAGCAAAAACCCATGTGTGAGGGTCACGAGGCCATGGAGAAGAATGGCGCATAGGACGCTATCCATTGCCTCCTGTGGTGGATGTCCAGACAAGGGCAGGAGAATTGACCCCTAGATGCAGGCAGGCAACAGGGGCTCTGCTGCTCATGGTTCCCTGTCACAGAACCTGCTGAAACTGGTGTGATACCCACCAAAGAACTTTATAAAAATCTCATCCTCAGTCTCTTCTGCAAAATGGAAATGGGAGCATATCTCTGCTTCATGAAGGGTTTATGAAAGCTGCCACTCTGGAGGCAGAGTGGCAATACCTCACACTGATTATTATCCTTTCAAGCAGATGTAATTATGCTAATCAAGGCTTGTCTGATGCTGAATTTTACAATCTAGAAGTGCAAATCATCCAGGATTAGTAGTTAAAATTTAGTGGGAGCTGAGGGAAATTCTAGAGAAGACAGGAAGAACTGCTCTGGAGTCAGTTTTTCCTAGTAAATATGATTTTTGAGGCTGAAAAGGGATGTTTCAGGAACTGCCTCACATGACGCTCCACTGCCCTGGCTGGGAGCTGGACAGCACGTGTCTGAAGGATGCAATGGGACACTCAGGGTGGTACTTAGTCCTCTTGGTCCATCTCTGTGGTCTCATTCACTCCAAACCCCCATCTGAACCTGGAGGGCCCATCTCTAAAGCAAATCCAGTCCCATGCTGGTCCCCAGCACTTCACCATTTCAGTCTTGCCTGCCCATGCCCCAATCTCTTCTGAAGACCTCGCTCAGAAGGCAGGGAGAGGAACTGAACATTGCTTGGGGGGGTTCCCCAAATGCTGCTGGCCATAAAAAAATTATTTCTTAAAGATTAATGCACATCTCCTGCCAAAAAGATTAATCTTCCCAAGGAAAAACTTCTTTAAAGATGTGCTTGTTGGAAGGCAACATGCTGCTGGGATGGTTTGCTGGCTGAAGGGCCTCCTCTGTTCTCCCAGCTATTTTAACCCCTGGCCTCAGATAATTTCGGCTACTTAACGGGCATGTGGAAATCTTTCAGCTTTCCCCAAACAGAACAACACAGAGCATTTTCTACAGAAATCTCATGACAAAGTCCCCCAGTTGCTGTAGAGGCAGAAAGGTTCTTGGATTAATCATGGGAACAGCAGGGAATTAAGAAGCCTGGGGAGATGAATGCACCAGGGTTTTGTTAGATAAATGCTTAAAAAAATATAATCCAGACCTACTTTGTTTCAAGCACCTCAGAAGCTGAGAGAATTCACTGAATCTGGCTGCAGAAGCCACTTCACTTCTGTAATTTAATCTCATTGAGGTGCATTATGTCAAATAATTACCTTAATGAAGACTAATGGCAGAAGGGAGGAAAATAATAGAGATGCTTTGAAGAAACGAAGCTGCAAAGCTGCTTTGTTTTTAACCTGGCGCTGATTTAGCTCCCGCTCCTCTGGCTCTACCCCTTACAGAGGTGTCCGATCTGCCTCTCTTTCTGAAAAACTCCCTGAAAATTAAATTAAAAGGAATAACTTGAGAAAGAAGTTCTCCAGCATGGATGTGGTGAGGAAGGTAAACGAGCTCTTCCCCCACCTTGGCTCCCACATATTTTCCATTTGACCTTGCCTAACACTGGGGCTGTCCTCCAAGTCATCTGAGCTATCTCCCACCATTCCCGGAACAACTGACTCCAGACCTTCTAGAATTAAGGGAAGGAAAGGAAAGGGGGGGAAAAAAAGGGGGGGGGGGAAGTAAATTTAGCCCATTTTTCTCAAATTAATGCAACATGTGACATTTCACCTTTTTTTTTGGGGGGGGGAGCAAATATTTTCCCCCAGACTTCACTCTCTGACTCTGGAAAATTAAACGCATGATCCCACTCCACAAGCCTGTGCCCAGCCATTGCCACAGGTCTCAGACATCCCTTGCATTTCCAAAAGTACTCTTAGTTTCTCACACAGTTTTTTTCCTCCTTGTGCTTCCTGGACAGCTTCTTGTAGAGGTAAAGCATCCGCTTCTCCTCCTGACTCTCAAAGAAGGAGCCTGCGATTTTTCTGCACAGACGGTGTGCATAGGTTTCCAGAAATACAGTGGCATAGAGGATGCAGAAGAGCAGCCCCACGACGAGCAGCACAGAGGGGTTGGGAGGCATCGGAGGACTGATCCTGCAGTGGGCCGAGCTGAAGATCAGATAATGGTGGTAGCTTCCTTCAAAGTCCTGAAGTGGTAATTCTTTGTAAGGAAGTTGTAAAAGTTTCCAAAAAAAGGGCAGGATCCCTATTTTAGCCTGAAATAAAGAGAATTAAAAGTTAAATGGGGTATGAAGAAACAAAAAACAACTGGTTAGTATGAAAACATCAGCCTGGGGGTGTGCAATCACCGTTACAGTTTGTTTGGGTGCATTAAGAGGAGGACATTGATATGCATGCAAACTTCAGGCTGAGCGAGAATAACAGCATGTTGTGTGCTTGGCGTGGTGAGACCCAGTCCTATCTGTCATCTTTAGCTGCTCTTACAGAGGTCCTAACAGGGATTCACTGAGGGAGATTTACAAGGAAACACTTAATGCAGACAGCAGTATTAGTGGCTGCATATTTGAATATTGGAGGTTTTTTCTAAGCCCCAATTATTTTACTGTAAACTCATCATAAGCAGGCATCTGAGCTAGGGAACCCTGGGGCTGGGGAAGGAGAAGGCTGCATGGCAGAAGAGGAAAGCTAAAAAACTAAACCAGAACTAGTCCAGATAAAGTATATTAAAATAGAAACTGGGGAGGCTCGTGAAAAGGATTGCACAGGGTGACAACAAAGCCAGCGAGCAGAGCTTTCCCTTTAAAGAACAGCCACTACAATAAGGAGACATCCTCACAGCTGAGACATGTATTCATCTGCTTCCCCCTTTCTCTTGTGCTTGCACCCACTCTGCGGTGGGGGGGGTGATGCCGCAAGGACACCCTTTCCTCCACTCTGCCTAGGGAAGGGACCTGGAGATACAGACTCTTTGCAGCATGAGGCACTATTTGCTCCTCTCCTCGCTCCCAAGGAGCTGTAATTTGGAGCAGCTAAATGCTGCTACTTGATGCACCAGAAGGAGCAACTGAGGTGGTGCCTCTACCTCCTCCCCTCCAAGCCTGGTACATTGCTTGTCCAGCTGGCTGCTGGGGAGGGGAGTAAGGGTTGTGTAAATAAGGCTACAAAGACTGCAATCCCCACCACCGCTTTCCGTGATGTGATACACAGCAGGGTCCCCACGCAGGGAAGGAGAGGGGACCCCAGCACTTACACTGTATTTGATGTTGAGAGTGACGGGCACCGTGGAGAACTGAGCTGCCTTTCTCACCGCAGTGTCTGCCACGCTGAACGCAAAGTGGTCCAATGCCACGACCACCAGCATCAGCATCAGGGCCACGGTGAGGAGCATGGCTTGCATGAGACACAGCATCACTTCTTCCCGGGACAACTTCAAGCCTGTTGGTCGAATGAGGTTTTTGAATGGGCCCACCAGCAGGTGAGTTGCTTTTCTGTCCACAGCTAAGCACTCCAGCTTCTTGGTGATGTAAAAATTGTCAAAGCGGAGGTTGGTGAGGTAATTTTTCAAATACCAGGTGGACTCAAAACAGAGATAGAGCATGGAGAAGCCGGCAACCAGCTTGTTGCCTACTCGTACAGAGTCTTTGACCAGTACCTCAACAGCCAAAAAGTCCCTCCCAATTTTCTCACCAGCAAGGTGCATTTGTTGGTAAATCAAGGAGCTGTTCTTAAGCAGTGAAAACTGAAAATGTCCATTCATAGGTCTATAAATATTAATGGAATGAGCATTTTCTTGTATTGCATCCCCAAACTCCCAGGAAGCTGTGTCTAGCAGAGCAGTTGAGTTCAAAAGACTCTCAGAGGAATTCTTGCAGATGCACTTAATAAGCTGCAGTATGGTTTTAATGTTGCTTATGATGTTGGGAGTTATGTTAACCACTACTATCATGGTGCAGGTTGACAAGAGAAGCTTCCGGCCTTGTTTGGTACCTAACGTAGGCATGATCATACTGAAGACACAACGGGCAGGATGCACCAAGAAAAGGGTGAGGAGAAGGAGCAGACTGAAGGAGACAGCCATTGCAACGGACAGATGCCAGGAGTACTCCAGGGAAGCAAACATCCAGTTGTAAAAGAGGCCTCCTATCACCGCTGTAACGCAGGAACACTGCAGAAACAAGGTCCACAGCTCTCTGCCGTTTGCTGGGACAGGCTTGGAGTAAACTGACCATAGTTCTGCCACAGTCCTGCGCACCTTTGGGAACAGAAAGTCTTCACAGTAGACACGGGCTCTCCTACTGTAAGAAGAACAAGTACATGGGTGTTAGCAGAGGAAGTATGGACACGCACTAATTAGGGGCTTTCTCAAGATGATCAGTCATGAGTCTTTAATGTCTTTCTCTGAGTGCCTCTGGTCTCTCTCTTCTCTACTTCTCTGCTTACCTGAGTAGCTGAGACTGAGCTCTTCCCTGGAAGCACACAGGACAGTGAAGTTCAAGGCATTTCTTGAAAGATCAAATACCAAGTACAATGTGACAGCTCCTCCTCTAATGCAAGCACGGGAAAGCATTGTATTATTCTACAAAAATCATAATAAAGTAATTCAGAGGAGCCAACTCGTTGGCAGTGGCTAAGGGTGGCTTTAGCAGTTATTCAGAGGATGCTGGAGGGACAAAGAGGAGGCTCTTGGCTGCTGTGGAAATCGTGAGACCAGCTCTGTAATTTCAAGGTCTTCAATGGATAAGAGGCAGCTGAGTGAGAGTTTCTGATCTCCCTGTTTCTTAAGAGCAGACAGAACAAAAATCTGCAGGTTTAAGGGTGACAAATACAGAACTGATCAGAGGAAACAATTTCACACTGAAGCTCCAATGCCAGAGGAAATCTCCAAGGACAAGAATTTGGCCACCGCAGACAGGATGAAATGTCCCATAAAGCTATTTAAATGTCTAATGGAAACAAACATTTGGGAAGGAATATAATTTCTCAGGCCTCACATCTGGAGTGACTCTCCGAAGACCAGAAAACCTGGTGGGGAGAAGGAGCCTCTCCCCAGGATTAAACCCAGCCAGGCCATCCCCAGCTCTCCCCACCCAACAGCAGCCTCAGTTATCCTTTGAGGGAGAATTTTGACTAGCAAAGGAAGCTTTTCAGTGGAAAAAGGCCATTCAACAGCTATCAAGATGGAGGGAAAAGAGAGGGATTAAAGCAGATGCTACATACCCAGCGGCAGAGAGGTGCCCCAGTCTTGCTCGAAAATTCTCCATACTCCAGTGCCTTATTGCTCTGAGAAAGGATCCTGGCTGCAACTGCTGGGAGATGCAGGATAGAAAACCAAGGAAAATGGTACCAGAGAGCCAGGACTCCACAAAAAAAAAAAAAAAAAAAAGTTTTAAGGCAATTCAGATCAGCAACGCTGGCAATTCCTGAAGTGAGGGGGAAAACCTGGTGTGTGAAGCCTGGGGAATAACCCCGCTACAGGACAGATGGGATGCACAGCACTGCTTGGGCTTCACACTTCTGATCTTACTGTTGTTGCAGAGAAGGCTTATTTTCATGACACACAGCTGAAAAAAAATGAGTCAATGACATACAGACTGACGAAGATGGAACAAGCATCACATGTAATATGGAGTGTCACCATTGGTCATGGGGAAATCAGCTGTCTCATCCCAGCTGACTCTTCCTCCCACTGCCTACCAGCGAGCAGCAAGGTTAAGATTTCTCTCAGAAAGAAGGGGAGCTTTTCCTCCTTCAGACACCAGTCATGACACAAAGGGCATGGTAGGATCCAGCAACCCATATGCTGATAATTGCTCATCTTTTCTGGCAGGCTGCTGCTCCCTGGTAAAACCATGAGCCCATGTGCAGGGTGCACAAACTGCTTAAAGGCTCATCTCACAGTCCTAGTGGAAGAAGATGAAGCTTCACACTCGAATCTTTCCCAAATCCCTATAGCCAGCAAATCCACTGCAAAGAAAGACCTGCCACAGCCAGGATTCCCAAAGCGCTAAGAAGCTTCCAGACGTGCAAGCCAGAACGTGTGATCTCCGTGGGACTGACTCACCTGACCCCTGGGATGTGTAGGGCACTGAGCTCCAGCCACCAAATCCACTTGCTGGGAGACGAGGACCAGCCCATGGGGTTTGCTCCTCAGTTCTGTCTCCAAAGAAGAGGATTCCCTGTCCTCCGGTCAGCTGGCACACAAGAAACGCGTACCACCGCTGCCTACCTCCTTGCAGTGAGCTTGTGGGTTATGGGAACCTCCCCTGGCTCCATCAAACCTGCCCCTTTGCCAGACACTCTCACGCTAAGCCCCCACTTGTAGGCAAAGGAGACACAGCTCCCCCAGCCCCTGCTGAGGCCACTCAGCACTTACAGGCACCCATTGTCCCGAGCAGAGCCCTCCCGCTGGGTGGGAACCGCCGGGCCCCCGGGATGTTCTCATGCTCCCCTGGGCGGGAGAGGGCAAAGGGCTGGAGTCAGCCCTGTCCTGGCCGTCCCTCGGGATGGAGCACGCGGGGCTCTGCTCTGCAGCAAGCGGTAGGAGAGCAGCACCTTCCCCAGGGGACACAGCCAGACCCCACGGCAGCGGCAGTCATCAGACGGCGAGCAATCATGAGCACAAGTGGGCAGAGCAAACCTCTGTCTGCGTCCTCAGCCCTTCCTGCAGGTACCAGGCAAGGTCCTTTCCACCCTTGCTGCTCCACTCAACAACTCTGCTTTATTGCTAGAGTTTTTCTTTTTTCCACATGGCTGGTAGAGCAAAGGTTTCCTCCTGGTGCCCTGGAGCTTGTGCAGAGGGCAGAGATGCCAAATGAGAAACTTTGACTGACTGGCTCCAGCCGGGAAGAGGCACCAGCCAGTCGGGTGTGAAAGAAAGTGCTATTTGTTTGGAGCATCCATAGCAATTGCTTGCACAAGCCATGAATTAGGTCTTGAATTCAATTTGCAGACTATAAAGGACCACCCCAAAAGGCCCATAGCTGTACCCTACAAAATTCATCAGGTTCTCCTTAGTCACTATTCTGAGATTAAACTTCTTTCTCACTGTATTTCAGAGCTAAATGATCTTAGCATCAGTCCCTGGGACACCATCCAGGCTAAGTAGGTAGCTTTCTGGGCAGAAAAAATGCTAGCAATAGACCACAAAGAACAAAAAAACCCCAACAACCCTCAAGTCCACAACGCAGTGATGAGTTTTTTCTGAGCCTGCTGCGTCATCTGGCAAAGGAGAGTCTGGGGGGAAGCTGTGTTTGACCAGTAACTCCAGGCAGCACCAAGAAGTGTTTGTATGCAAAGTCAGACCTAGATTTTCGTCTGGCTCAACTCAGAATTGATCTCCGCAGGCTGGACTATGTGGGGTAGGAGGGCTGTGGCATAAAGAGAAGCTAAATCTGGGATATCTTATACCCCGAACTGATAACCCATAAATGAGCTAGAACCATCAATGCCTAACTTTCCCTAGGACACAATGAACAAGCTTGCTTTGCTAAAAAATAAATAAAAGTGTGTGTGTTTATAGACGTACACGAAGAACCATGGCCAAAGGCTAGGGAGCAGGACATGACCTGACCACGCATCTCAGCGACGCAACTGTGACATCTTGCGGTCACATCCTGCTAAAGTACCTCAAGGTCTGACTTCACTTCAGCTCATAAACTAGTCTGTGGGTGGGAGAGTTTTAAGGAAAACTGGAGAAGGAGAAACAGGAGGCTGGCGAGCCGGTGATGGGGATGCATACGCTACGTCCTCTCAGGATGCTCCCAAGGTGCCTTTTCCCACCCCGTGTCACTGGGATTTTGTGGCCCGGCTCCCAGGTGGTATAAAGGGGCTTTGCTTTCTTGAAAAACTCCAGCCTCTGTACAGCTAAAGCTCTAAAATTTTCTAACATCCCTGATTTGGACTTTTCAGCACTGCAGTAGGAGACAAAGAAGAGACCCACATGCCTGGAACTAGCTTGCTGTAACAGAGGGTTTCGTTTGTGACGCAGCCAGAAAGCATAGCCTGCCTTTGCTCCGATTAGGGATGGTGACTGAGCTTGTACCCACCAGGACACAGATTGTAAATCCCTTTCTGTTTGCAGCCCGCAGTGCTCACAGAGCGGGTCCCTGGGCATTCCCGACAAGAGCCTCTTGGCAAGACCCCTGTAGTGATGGGGTAACTCCGCGGTGGTGACGATGGTGGCAGGGGGTGCAACATAAAGGAGCAGCTGTATCACAGGTAGAGCGCAGGGTACATGAACTATACAGCTTAAGAAAATGAATAGGTAAAGAAGATGAATAGAGGGCTAAAAATAAGACAATTTAAGGCTGAAGATACTTCTCCATGGCAATATCATCAGCACCTGTTGATCACGTTATTCTGCCAATTCAAGAAATTGAGGGTGTGGGAAAGATTAGCCCATTAGTGGTAATTCTTTGCTTGGTAAAATCACATGCAGATGAACAACTTACGGTGATACAGAGCCAGGTCATGTCTTCTTAGGTTTCTACTATGGCAATATGGAAAAATCCCAGCAATATCCTTTCAGTGACTGATGAGGGATAAATGTGATAAGGGAACCAAGGCTATCTAACCTGCAACAGCTGAATTTCCCCCATCATACCAGGCTTTCATTTGTTTCAGGAATCTTTCCCTCTCTCTCCCGAACTTCCAGCATCGCTGCTGGGTGCAAATCGGCTGAGCACAGCGCTGGAATCGCTCACTGCTGTAAAGACCCATATAGCAGCTTTTCTGTGTGAACCGTTTGTAAATGCAACTTGAATGCTTCTGGGATAAAAGATACTACAAAATACTTTCCTACTGTAAATAAACCAGAATGATTTTCCTCCAAGTGTCTCAGGAGAACATGTGGATGTTGGTCCGGGATTGGATGGGGAACATCAAAGGAGTAAAGCAGAGATATTCTGGACGTTGCATTTCAATGCGTGAGTGGCATTTCCTGTTAATTAAAATTCACAAGCAGGCTGCTAATGTGAATGGCTTTTGTGATGGTTGTTGGGTTTTTACATTCCTTGAGAAACGGTGCATAGGCAGGCAAAGTTCCTTTAAAATAACACAGTCAAAGTAGTAGAAGGTTAGTATAGTACTTGAAATGCCCTTTCCTGGGAATTTTCTTATCTCTACTCACATCACAGACCCTTCAAGAATAATGGGGTTGACTTACCATTAAAAGCTGCTTTTGGCAAATTTTAGTACTAGCTGCAACAAATGGAATCAGAAATTATTCATGCAGTCCAGTTCACCCTTGAACTCCAGAAATACTGAATCTTAAAATTCCCATTAAAAAAAAAAAAATTAAAAATCAAGCATTCCAGACTAGTCCTACTCTCACAGATGCCTGGATATGAAAAAGCAGAATTAGGTAATGCTGTTGTCCACACACCTTAAACCAGATCCTCTGGGGAGCCCTGGGAAATGCAGAGGCTGCTGATAGAGCTGGCAGAGCCAGGTCTTTGACTAAGGTAGAAGTTTAGGATCCAGGTGTTCCTCACACCTTTCCCAGGTCTGCCAAGGCCCTGTTGTGTGACCTTGGGTAAGTCACTGGTCCCCTCAGTTCCCCATGTCAGCACAGAGATAATAAACCTGCCTTCACCGGCTGCATTTGTGAAATACTTTCTGATCTCCAGACAGACAGTGCCACAGACATGCCGGGACGCTGGCAGTGATTTTTGGAGACTTCTACACAAACTTTGTGGTCTCGGTTCTGCTTTCATGCCCAAGTAAAACTGTCCTCCTAGATTCAACCAGGATGCACCAAGCCAGAGCTGAGACTGTAAGTAAACCCGCGACCCCTACATCTGCAACGGAGCTGGATGTTGCCCTTTGAGCCTCGAAATTAGGCAACCCAAAGACCCTCGCTGCCTGTCCTCCAGGCTGCAGGGACAGAGGCAGCTCTGTTCCAGTGACCGACTCTGATCCCCTGCAGCAGCTCTAGCCGCAGCAAGGCAGCAGGACAGCAGGGCTCCGTCCTGCGGCACCTGGCCACGCAGGGTACAGCCCGTTCCCTGGCCCCCGCGACAGCGATGCCGTGCTGTTCACGGGACAGCTGGCTGGGAAAGGGAACTGCAGGGAGCAATTTTCCTTTCGCTATTCACCCCTTCTTCGCTTCCCTTCGCCATCCAGCCCTTCTTCGCTAAGGCATGACGAGGAGCACCCATGCACAGTCGGCACAGAGCTGCCCCGCGGAAGCGGAACAGGGATACGGAGCATCCCCAGCAAAGGCAGCTGCCGGGGATGCACCTCTTTAGCACAGCAGCCCTGAGACACTGGGCTAGGAACCTTCCCGGTCTTGTTAGTCCTCTACTTAACAGGGCTCCGTTTTGGCTCAGACAGAGAGGGAAACCTCACTGCCCTCCTGCTCCTCCTGGGGAACCACTGCCCAAATCAGGGGGTGAAGCTAGGGCAGGGGGAGGCTTGGGCTTTGCTTTTCTCCTCTCAATCTACAGAGCAAACAGGACGATGTGACATGCTAACAAATGTGCTTTATTGTACATTTTTCACAATCATTAAGGATTTTGTTGAACTTAAGGATTTTTTTGAACTTGACCGATCAAAGTTCCACATTCAATTGGTTTTGGCGGTTTTGGTTCAACCCCCACGAGCCCCCCACCTACCATGCGACCCTAGGGTGCTCCCGGCAGCAGTTGTGGCTGGTGAGCATCGCCCTGCCAGCTCTCCCACCCGGCCCCAGGGTTTATCAGCAGCACAGGAGCAGGGGGGATGCGCCGGATCCCTACACCAGGCCAGTCTGCCTTGCCAGCTCCACCAGTTTACATCATCAGAGAAATCTGTCCCTGCTCAGGGATCCAGTCAATCACCTTCCCTAAACCAAGAATCATATCCTTCATCTTTCAATCCATTCATTTCAACGGCTGATCTTTTAAATTAAATATTTTAGATTCTTACAGAAAATTAAAAAAAAAAATCAAATCAGAAAAAATGGTGATTAAAATCACAGTCAATTTGCAATGCTTTCATTGAAAGTACCCAAGCAATCTGATCTAAAAAGATGTTAAGAATCAAAGCCTATTTTTCAGAAATGTCAATAATATTCCAATGCAAATTGTCCACTGTCCTATGACTCAGCGGGTCGCTCATGAATGAGTCAATCTCATAAACCTAAGACTGGCCACATT